TTATTTGAAATCGGCAATGACTTAGTTGCCAATCTAATATCTTTCTGGAGGATGAGATGCCACGAAAACTGATTTTATGCGTTTGACTCAGCGCAATAAAACAAATGCTGGCAGAGCCACAGAAATTGACAAACTCTTCATCACTAATAGATTCAGTTCACTAACGCTTACTAGGCTCAAATGCTGTCTTATTTCAAAGTCATGAAACGAAATTATAAATGGAGTTGAAAAAACCTAACTTTAGAAATTCAGAGTTGATTAACTTGGGGTCAGCTATTTTTAACTTGAGTAATTATCAAGATAAAAGGAAAATTAAAAGGGTCTTCCAATGCCTAAACAGTGAAAAACTAAGAATATCTTCAAATTTCTCCCTCATTGTTGACAATGTCGGCAAATAACCCTCCTTAAATAATGGGATTTTGTGGAAAGTTTAAAAGGAAGACATTCAGACCACAATTAAGTCCATAGATTGAAGAAAAGAGAAATGGGTGACATTTCTGAGCGCAATAACTCCTAACGGCCTCTGATTGGCGAATAACTGACAATGTTTATAAATAATGATACAATGGTTCAGGCTAAACTGAATGGGAACCAACCAGGATTAAGTGGTATATTGCTCACTGGAATCACTTCTAGACCACGTATTACCAATCTGAAATGTGATGATAGGGAAGTCAATTAACTCACAGAAAATATATTCTCCATAATGCTGCTGCTTATAAGATTTGCATGCATAACAAACGACTAATTGGTTAATTAATAAAGATTCCAGTGTTATATTAGGAATCCTCTCTTATTTATGAGTATGGAAGGCCAAAAATGTTATATCTGTAAAAGAGGAACTGACTAGTTTAATTATCGTCAAGTTCACTGAATATATTTTTTTTAACAGATTATGTCACCAACGTATTTTTCGGGGCTGGACTCTCAGTATCGTCACCAAGTCATTTCAAAATCATCGTGAAAAAATATTTATAAATACCTTCAAACCACTAATTAATAATTAATGCAGCGCATTAGAAATTTATTTTCTACTATCATAATGTCTTTTGACAATTAAATCAAATTAAAATAGTTAATTATTAGTTGAGTGAGCTATAGGAGACAGAGTCAAGTTTCCGTGGAACCAAATTCCTGATCCTAGACTTGGATAGCATGGTTAACTACACTGTATATGTCGCTTGCGAATAAACCGATAATTCATACAGTTGCAATGCAAGCAACTATGAAGGAATAAAATGCACCTAACTGCTATTATATACGCCAAAATGTTATTTAGTAAGGCATTTCACTACCCTTAAGTAATTGCCTTTATTTTTTGCTAAGAAAGTTTCACCTGTTGTGAGATAAAGGTTTTCTTGAGCCTTGGTACTGGGATCGACATTGTTTGTACCCAATTATATATATATATATATATATATATATATATATATATATATATATATATATATATATATATTCCTCACAAAATACCCCCTTTATTTGGGGCCAGCAAATCGCAAATACGAAGGAGGAGGGGGGGGGGGAGGAGAGAGTTACGCTTGTCTATGTTTTTAGGAAAGAATAAAGATGTTGACAATCGTCCCATCCTAGTAGAAGATAAACTCGAAGTGGGAGGGACTGTCCTCTTCTTTTATAGATATGATTTTACGTTTTCTTTTGAATAAGTCAAAATTTCCTAGAAGTCAGTTTTTATTAACATTAAATTTGGTAGGAAAGCCTACCAGTGGGTAAGTATATGCGAAAGTAGTTCCCCATTTTGAGGTGTAAAAGGCATGGAGATAATGCAGATTTATTGATTATATCCCAAAGAAAATAAGTAATAAAGTGATCATGATTTTAAAAGTCTCCGTTTTAGCGACTGAAGAGTAATAAAAAGAATTCCTGTTAATATAGAATTAACTGTGTTACTCCTCATTAATTAAAGTATTTTTCATCAGAATAAAAAATAGCAGATTTTAATAAGAAGAACCGGGGTGTGCGATAGACTTACCTCCATGTGGTGCACCCTGGGCAACGTATACTCATACGGCAAAAAAGTCTATTAACTGGCAGTTGACTTCTGACTTCTAACTACCATAACCCCAGTGGATGCCATATTCTACCACTTCCACAGTAATCATCCTACCTTTTCTCTGCCCTTGTGTCTGTCTCTTTTACAACTGTAAACCACTCTTCTGTTCCCCGTCCCTCGACCTTCTGTCTACTTTGATGTTCCTTCCCCCTGTGAAGCCCGAAGTCAGCTAAAGGGCTAATGATAACTATCAATACGCCTGCCATTTGAAATAAATAAATAAATAATAAGAAGAACCGATATGAGTTAAAAGATGAATACTGAAAAGTGTTGGCTATATTTTTAAGTAATCTCAATTTTACGATTTCCGTTGATAATAAAGTGAATTAGATAAGTTTCTTTGATAATATTTATTGTAAAGGTGCCCATTCGTATTGCTTATGAAAATTGAGAATCAAAATACTTACAATCATGATGATTTTAATTTTCATTCTACCAAAGGTGTCTATAATTTTTTCTATTCTTGTTAGTCACCTTTGTTAACGATAAAAAGATTTTTTGTCTTTTTCTAAAGTAGTTTCACTATTTAAATTTATACACAATTTTATTAGATATGTTAAATCGAGGATTTGAAATAGGCAACAAAAATACAAGAATTTAAAACAAATATATCTTTAGAAGACATAAAGTGAATGGAACAATAAATTTATCGATTTAATGTAAATCGAAATATTTATTTCCTTGTCATTTTGGTGTTGAAGAACACAATATCTTTAATTTTACAAGGACAGACCATAACTTCGTTGTTTCATTCACTTGATAAATACTCATTGAAATTCGAGGCCCGTAGAATGTGACGGAGAGAAGCCACAGTAACTCTAATTGCAAGAAAATAAATAGGATATCCCACTTGATAGTCTGAGCTATTCTCTTAACCTGACTTCAAGCTTATTGCGTTGAAATACGAAACGACAACACGATGCCCTTTGTAGTAATTTTCGATAGTCAACTCACCATTATCAAGTAGACTATCAAACATATGCTCATTATACGCTCACTCAACCTGTTATATAGTGAACACGGAAGGTGCGCAATATTATTGTTAAATCACTATATTCTCAAACTGGAAGAAAAATGAGTTTAGGCGGCAAGACCGACCGCCATAAATGGAAATAATATTCGACAGAAGAAATCGACAGGTAGTCAAAGGGATCAGTAGTGAAAGATGCAGTGTTCTCTTGACATTGTCATTATAATTTTTTGAACTCCTCTGATTTATCATTAATTGAACTTGCTGCCAATCGATTTCCTTGATGTCGATTTTACTAACAATTCCACACATAAATCCCATATTTGATCACAATGCTTACACAACAAAGGTTAGAGAAATTTTTAAAAGTCTAATGCACCCCGAAATTTGATCAATAAATAGTCATAAAACGTCATTATTTCAAACCGATCCGACGAATTATAGGATCACACCCCCAAAAAAGTAAACATTTAAGTAACTGTTTTGCCAATTATACCAGGAGAATGAAATTGAACGCTGCCAGCTTAAGTTATACTTACTTTGAAAATACTTTCCACTTTCTGTTTTTAAAATTGATGTTTAAGTAAAAAATAATAATTTCTTTATTATCGGAAAGCACCAGAATAGTTTAATAATATACAGGTTTTATTAACCCTTTTTCATCTGCTCAGTTGGGGGAAATGAAACCTGTGGACCTGCATCATATCACCCTCGATCCAATCCACACATCTGGTTGGTTATTTGGTCCATTCAGGCGTTCTGATTGGTTCTCTACTCAACCTCAAACGTGTACGCGCGTGCGTTATGGAGTCAGCGCGACCTTTAAAAAGACGGCCAGCGCGTTGTGTCCTTATGCACTATTTGGGACTGTGAATTAATTCGGTCACATTTTGGGCAATGCTATCACTCTTTCATATTTGAATGAAAAATTAGGGCCTCTACTCTTCTTTTAGTAGGTACTCAATCAAAGGATGCCATGGAAACTAATCAGCTACCCGATGATCGAAATATCTCTTTCCGTTTCCCCTGTCGAAGTGGGGATTTGCCTACTATCTTCATTGATTCCACGTACTTGTGTGTAGCCATCACTGCAGTGGTTTTAAACATTCTCGTTCTAACCGGAATAGCACATATCTCCTATACATTGAACCCAAAACGGTTTCTTGAAGTCCGTCGATCTAACAATCGAGGTCATCCCAGATTTATGGTAAATACTCTCCGTTATTCAAAAAGTCTCCGAACAACACGATTTCGAACTGGCGAGGAGAATGACTTCAACTCCTACGCAAGTGATGGAGCATCGTTAAACAAAGAATTCCATGAAAATCCTCTTCCTAGGTCCCCAAGTTGTCCCGAAAGAATAAGCTCTCTTAGAAACCCGCAAACTAGCCATACTAATAATTCCGTCACCTACTGGCTGAATAAAACAAATCTTGGGCGCAAAAGAACCTTCAAGCACTCACCCCAACCTAAACCCCGACATTCAACCGCACTCTACCTCGTATATTCGTTGGGTCTCGCTGATCTATCCAACGCTGTGGTGACACTATTCAGCATAACATTGGCGTTCTGGCGTCCTAAGCATTCCTTTCTGGCAGAGCCCACCGGTGTATACCAAATCGAAGCCGTGAAACCATGTGCTCGTTTATTTCTTGCGGCCCTTCTATGCACATCTTATAATGCGTCTCTATGTAGTATAGCTAGTTTGATGTTGGATCTGTACCTTGGTGTAGTCCGACCCATGCATTATCGCGTGCTGTCAAAGAATACTCTTCTCAGATTTGTATTTGGGTTTTGGGGTTTATCACTAATCCTCGGTAGCCTCCATATAGTTCTTCCGACAATCAAATTTCGAGATATCTCCTCGCCAATTTACCAGAGATTTCTCTTGCCTACTGAGCCGTGCACAATTTCACGAAATAATGATCACAATAACTTCTGCCTACACCGAGGAATTTTCAATCTCTTTCGAAGTGGATATGCAACAGCAGGATTGCTTTTTATTCTTGCACTACTTATGATCACGCTTTGTGTTCTCTCCCTTCGAAAAGTTCGTCGAGATTCCCTAAAGCGTACTCGAACAATGCGGATCATGGCTTCCACTCGAAGCGTATCTCTACCGACAATTAATCGAGTGAATGGAGTTCCGATTAACATGAGGACTGTTAACTTCAATGTACCAAAGAGCATTCCACGTTGCACTGGAAAGAACCTCCTTAGAAGTGCATTCACACTTCTTTCACTATGTGCACTGTTTATTGCCTTCTTTGTGCCATCTATTATTATGGATGCTTTCTTTACTCTTACTGGAAAGGCACCCAGACTTCCTCCATGGATTTTCGATCTTGTAACTCATATGCCGGCGTGTGTGGCAATGTTTAATCCAATTATATACTCTCTTCGACTCTCTGATATCCACACAGGGTTGAGGAACTTCAAGAAGCGTCTACTTTCGAGGACCGGCAAGGGTTTTGTGCGGAAGCATCTGAGATTCCATCGAGAACAAATCCTAGTTAGCACTAAGTTAACAGCCCAATTGCGAATTTGACCGCCTCCAAAGAATGTTTTCCCCGTGAGACCGAATAAATAACCACGTACTCTTTGTTTTCTCCCCCCACCCCCACCCTCTCCTCTCCTCTCTCTCCCCTCGATTTGTATAATTTCTTATTCCAAAAAAAACAAATATTCTAATGAAACTAATAGACTAGATGTCACTGTTCATACATTTATTAATTGTGAGTCAATGAACTTTGTATTGTTATCATGATGATGTTTCGCCCAACAGAGCGATAACTAGTTGTCGTGCCAATGTATTATCAAATAAAGTGGAACCCTGTTAATCAAGCTGATTATTTTGAATTTTTCAATAGCAGTACTGAATACCTCCTTCGAGAGCTTTCAAAAATTTAGGGGATGAAGTCTATCCTGGCCATCACAATATCTCATTAATATAATTCAAAGGGAGTAAAATTTTGGTGGAAATGGTCCTGTTTTCGGTTTGAAATTTGGTCAAAATCCATGCCATCTCAGAGTATTATCACTTTTAGTATTTTTGGTCAAATTTAAGACTCCGTAACTACCTAAAATTTTTTTTTCGAAGTGAAAAGAAACGCAATAATGAATTTACTAAAGTCGGGATAATTCTTTAAGCCTGATTAGTAAGAAGTTAGGTGTATTGCCCACCGAATATAACTTTAAACAAAATTCTGTATCCTTTTGAGATACTTTGGTAATAAGGCATGCACGCTCTGAAGTAAAAGTCAATTTGCTTGCTCAATGGTAGTTCAGAAAAGGTATTTAGAGGAGTGTTCAGATTTAATGATATCCCTGCTTTTAGGTTTCCACAGGCAAAGATGCGACTTAGCTAAATGAAATGACCACCATCACTAGTCTGTGATTTCCTAATCACAGAGTCTCCTAAATGCTGACATTCTACTCTCTTGTTATTTGCGGAAATCGCTTGCATTTGAGCACTAAGATAATGACTTGTCGATTTGGGGATACAATTTCCAATATTGGTTGGCATGCTTCAAGTAGGTGGGATAAGCAAATTTATTTGTTAAGGTTGCTAGGGAAAGAAACCATAATCTTTGTACTTTTCACTGAGCGGGAAATTTCAGCATATTTCTTCTTGCTTGGATTAAGTGCCGTAAGGCAATTTCCACTTCATTTTTTACAATTTGCTTTCAATAATATAAATAATTCTTTGACTTATAAAACCAATCCGCGCGCCTGAACGAACAAATTAATCTTCTTTTATTGACATCGCATTCGTTTTTTTAATAATTGCATGAAAATCGGTGCATTGCTATTGTTTGAATGGAAAGATTATTTAAAATATCAAAATCCCAAAGTAAAAATATTTCTCAACTATATCATAAAGCTGCCGATTTTCATATTTATCATGACAATGAAAATATCAAGTCAAAAAACAGCTAAAACATGCCTGTTAATTAAAAAGCAAATTATTATTATGACAAATGACATTTTTGTGATATTTTTCATTAGTCCCAAAATGCACGTTGAAAGGTAAAATTTCGCAAATTAAACGATTGGTGACATATATTATTCAAACTCTCACTGGTTGAAGGTGTTGGGTCCTAAATTGCCTGCGACAAATCGGCCAATGCAAATCACGTCTGGCCTAAGTGCCATTTATTTTGGGCAATTGGTGGATTTTTTTACTCAAATACATTAAGTAATAACATATAAATGGAGTGCTTTCTGTATAAGTTAATAAATTATCATCGTAAATCACAACGTCGTCGAACATTAAACAACACCAACAACAACAAAAACAATAACTTTATTTTCTTTAAGGAATACAGGTTAAGTGGAGTGTAGGGGACCAATGAATAATAAATGGCTATAAAGAGCCAAAACTAGTGACCAATGAAAGACATGCGAGGTCTTGTCTCAATTTCATACATTTGCGGCAGTGGATGTATAAGTGTGGTCGGAGTACCTAGAAAGAATTCAACACGGAAAGCCATACTTGCTCAAATTCTAGATTTAAAAAAAATTTTAAATTATCTTGGAAAAAATCTAATACGTACTGTTGTTTATTTTTGACTCATTTCAGAAATTACCTGAATCTGTATGCTTGAATTATTTTTTATAATAAAGTTAAAATTAGTGGCATAGTTACAGCGCACCATTTGGCATAAATAATTAATGCAAATGAAATTTCTTTAAGTTTATCAATAATCCTTTTGAAAGCCTCATATGCTTTAAGAGTTCCAACTTCATGGTGCAACAAAACTCATTCACCTACCGAGGATATAAGCAAGACATCTAAATATATATTTATTTAAGAAATATTATAAATTTTCTGCACTAGGCTTTTTGCTCTATCTGACTTATTGGTGACATTTACGTATAACACGGAGAAACTTGTCAATAGTTGTATTTTGCAGGTACCTATTTCTCACCTAATATATATAAACCCTCACATTTGACATTCCAGGGTGCTCGATAGACTTACCTCCACGTGGTGCATCCTGGGCAACGTATACTCACGGCAAAAATATCTATCAATCGGTAGTTGACTTCTGACTTCAAACTTCCCTCACCTCACTGTATGTTATGGTCGACTAATTCCATAGTACTCATCCCACTTTTTTCCTTTTTGAAACGCTCTTCTATTCCCACCCCCTTCTCGACTTTTTTTCACTTTGATGTTCAATCCCCTCTGTGAAGCCTGAAGTCAACTTAAGGACTAATGATAACTATCAGAACGGCCGCCATTTGATATAAATAAATACATTTGACATTCCTGATCTCTCTTTTCCTTTAAATCGTAGGCAAGAAAGATGCATCTAAAGATAGTTTCGGCAAAAAATTACAATACAAGACTGAATATTTATGAAAATGCAGTATATTTATTCTTCTGATTAAATATATTTATATATACTAATTATATGAGCGTGAAGTACGTTGAGAACACTAAAAGCCCCTAGAAGATATCCGGAGTGCGCATGCTACTAAATTGACTGGTTGGTGACTTGTATAATTATATTAAGTGGGAAACAGCTGGTCATTTTGTGCGCAGTGTCTCTATCCACTAAAAAGTTAGCCCAAGTTGCATATGTCAAGCTGTGGCTGCTTCCCTGGTGAGCTGAGAGCCTATTATTGTTATTCCTTTGAGTTAGTCAAGTTTATCTGCGCAATTATTATCGAAATAGAAACCCACTAGCGAGCCATTTCAAAAAAGCATGGTTACTCTAGAAATAAACAAGGGTGATTATTTTTACTTCAATTACTCCAAGCACTAACTTCTAGTGATTTAAAATAGCACATATGGCAAATAGTAATACGGGTACAAAACGGGGTAATGAAATGACACTTAAATATCACCCCAAGGCACAAATTAATGTATTCTTTTAATGTCCTTATTTATCCGAAATAAAGCCGTATTCGTCAATACTCAGGCTAGTCCTAGGTTGCATACGGACCTTTCGTTGATATTTGGATGTATAAATCTATGTGTTAATGGCACTTTGGCCAATGTACACGTCTTACACGTCAAAGGTCAAGAGTTTGACTCCCATTAGCGCATACGCATTGTGCGAAACTGCCAGCCGCACTGTTTAAATCCGGCCCATAGAATTGTGTGTGTGTGTGTGGCGGAGTTCAAGTCTCCCATCTGGGTGGTACCATATTCTCACTCTGCCGGAAATGAGATTTGGGAACGCTTTTCTAAGTGGGTAAGGGTAGGGGGTATGATTTATTCCACTGCTGTCCCAACAATATGGAGGACGGCGTTGTGAAATTGACCAACTTTTCCTGACCTTCTGTTCGACTAGTCGACGTATCCTTTTGTAATGCAAATGACTTCGAATTTTTCATTACCTCACTTTCCACAGAAATTATGGTAAGTCACCCATCAGGTCCCTTGTGACAGGAGCGCAGGGGTTACTGTTTTCGTCATCGAGTTCCTATAAAGAAAAAAATTCGGTAGAAGTCGAATGTCTCCCCAGAGGGGGGAGGGGTTATGATCCCCAGTCTTGTATCAAATAAATGATATATTTTGAAGCACTTTCACTAATGTTATTCTTTATGCAGAAGGTGAATTATTTTCACAACTTTTCTTCTTACGATGCACTTACTTCCTCACAATCTTCGCCTCATAGCATATAAAAGGAGCGAAAGGGGCTTTTGGAGAGACAGAAAACCAGGCGCAATTCGGTTGTGGCCATGATTAGCTCATTCGGTAGGAGGATCACAAACAGACGGAACTGTTTCGGGTACATCTGATAGGCTAATTAAAATAAATCACTTGAGGACATAATGAGACTTGAGGTTGCTGTGGGGCAAGTAAGTGACTTTGGGTTGATATATTTAGGCCCTAAAGAAAGGTAGTGATTATTTAGAGAAAAAAACTAAGTTAAAGAAATATAAGAATCGTGGTCACTGCATTCATATGTCATCCTAATTTGTTTGCCAATTTTATCCAATGCAAAACCTTCCTTTTTGGTAGATCTCTCACTGCCAACTTTCTCACTGTGAGCAAAAATTATGACTTCTTCAACAACATGAAAGGCAGGCTATATTGAGTAAAACATAACTTGGTACATACTAAAACGCAAAATGACTCAAATAAAAAAATTTTTGTAAATTCTTGTCACGAAATCATTACTACTACGTTAAATGTGGAGCAAATGTAACGCTTAAAACACGCAAAGTTATGACGTCATAAAAAAACCGATGGATATATGTAGATGTATATATGTGCGTGTGCGTGTGTGTGTGTGTGCGCGCGCTATATTTTTGACCTTTTACCTGAGAAATCAGAAAGCGAGAATGCATAAGCAAGCACGAAAGTCTTCCACATGCCAGCTGTGCACTAATTAATAAATACGCAAATGCCAATCGTTTTTTTTGACATGACACATCTATCTTCGGGAATACCATACATATCATATATATGTATATATATATATATATATATATATATATATGCTTTCACAGAATTCCTCCAACTTCAAGGTTATCCAACAAAATGAAAGGAACACGTCTCTAAAACAAAATCTGGGCTGCAAAAGAATG